AACAAAAAGAAATTAAAAAACAAAAAAAATTAAAAATTCAAGTTGAAAATGAAGATATTACTGAATATGAAACAGAAGAAGTCATTACAAGTGGACAAATTACTTTACAACCTGAAATTGAAAAAGAAATAGTTGTTGAAAGAGAAATTAAAAAACCAAGAATTGAAGGAGAAATATTATTTAAAAGTATTGAGTTGGAAAAAAATAGTAGTATCGATTTAACTTTTAATAATATTAATATTAAAATTAATGGAAAATGTATTTTAAATTTTAAATAAAATTATAAACTTTTTATTTTCTATTCATATTTGAACTATGAGTTTTTTGAACGAGTTTTTTGAGGTAGTTGTGTTTTTGAAAAAATTTACTGAGTTTTTTGAACGAGTTTTTTGAGGTGGTTGTGTTTTTGAAAAAATTTACTGAGTTTTTTGGACGAGTGTTTTGAGGTGGTTGTGTTTTTGAAAAAATTTACTGAGTTTTTTAGACGAGTTTTTTGAGGTGGTTGTGTTTTAAAAAAATTTACTGAGTTTTTTGGACGAGTTTTTTGAGGTGGTTGTGTTTTTGAAAAAATTTACTGAGTTTTTTGGATGAGTTTTTTTGTGTTTTCAAAAAAAATTTCAGTTTTTTTAATTTAAACTATTTTCCATTCATGTTTTCTGTAATTTTATTATATTCTAATTTAAATTTAATAGCTTCTTCTTTTGTTTTAAAATATTTTTTAATTTTTTTTTTATTTTCACAATAATTAAAATACCATAAATTATAAGTTTTATAACAGCAAATTCCATTAAAACCAGATGTATTATTTTTTCTTAATTTACAATTTAATTGATTTTCTCTTGGTGTTGTCTTTCTGAGATTACATTCTCTATTATCTAAACCTAAATGATTAATATGATCAATCATTTTAAATCCAGGTTTAATTAACTGATGAAAATATAAAATTTTATATTTATTATCTTTTTTAATTGTTATTATAATATAATAAGTATTTCCATTTTTATTTACAGACCAAGTATGAGATCGAACATACTTGTAATTTGAGATATCTGTAAGAAATGTAATATTTTCTTTCTGAGTTTTGACTTCGATATATGAGATATTATCAATTGAGACAAGTCGAATTTGGTTGTAGACTTTCTTTCCACGAAGTTTTTTTATATCCCACATCCAATTATTAAGAACTTTAAATGTTGAATGTACTTTTAACCAAGGAGAATTTTTTATTTCTTGTTCAAAATTCTCAGTAAACATTTTTAATTTGAAAAAAAAAGAATAAAGTATTTATTTATATATTTTAGTTAAAAATTCTGAAACTTGAGATTCTAGTGTAGATTTTGATACTAAATATTTTTTATTAAAACACTAAAACATATTTGCTAATAAGAAATATTATTTGTAGATGAATTTGATGAAAATTTATAAGTTAAAGAAAAAAATAAAATTCATAACTATGAAAATCGTAAATAAATTGATATTTTATTAGAAAAAATTATAAAGTGGTTATATGAAACTAGCAATATTTTTGTGAAATACACATTTTTTATTAGTAGCATAAAGTTAATTAACATAGTAAAATTTCGAGAAAAACGCGATTTTTGGTCATATGAACTAAAAAAAATTTTAACAAGGGATCTCCCTATGAATTTTTGTAATATATCCGTGAATACCCAACAAAACAAGATGAAATTTGAGATATAAAGAGATGAATACCATACCTATAAAGTTACTTAGAAGTATAACATAGTGTTAGACTTACCAAACACCTTCCGAAATTAAATTTCTGCAAGAGAGAGAAGAAAAAAAATGTTTTACTCAAAATTTAGAAAAAATGTTATAACTCAACGAATATTTAATGAAAAAAGCTGAAAATTGAGATTTAAGTCCTCTAATACTCACTGAACAACTTTACTTAGAAGTATTTCACTTGTTTCCTTTGAGCAAAGTGCTAAAAACGTAGCACGAAGTTTCCATGAAAATAAAAAAAAAATAAAAAAAAATAAAGAAAGAAAGAATTTAAAGTCTGCAATCTCTGGGGAGCCTGTTCAAAATTAATTGAACCCAAAGGATTTTGTGCAATATTCTAAGGATCTTTACTAGGAAAAAAACCAGTTGGACTCACGTTAAAGATAGATTACTATAGCATTCATATAGACCAGTACTTGTGAGTTAACCTAACTATGCTTCTTTCTACCCTGTCCACAATTGACGTAGCCTTTAAATTCTAACTATATGTTATGCCAACAAGACACAACTCTTGTTGTTCACGACAACAGCTACCACACAACATATAACCCAAGAAAAAAGAAAAAAAACTATATACTGTTTTTAAAAAAAAAAAGTTTCTTCGATATTACTAAACTAAAAAAAACTATACTAAAAAGAAAGTATCGGACAAAAAACAACAAAAAAAAAATTATATGCAAAAAGTGGGAATATCGTTTGATAATTTTTTTTTGTTTACATCAAAATAAAATCCTATATCATAATAGATTTATTTATATTGATTATTGTAAATCGTTCTATTTTTGATTTTAATGTATTTATTTATATTGATTACTGTAAATCTTACTTTAATTATTTATACAGTAAAATTTGTGATACAAAAAATCGTCATCAATTAAAATTTTATTAAAAAAATGTGCAAAACGCTATTATGAAACTAATATTATTTTTATGAAATACACATTTTTTATTAGTAGCACAAAATCAATTATCTTAATAAAATTTCGAGTAAAACGCAATTTTTGGTGTTTCACAGCATTTTAAAAAATGATCTACAAAGATAATATCAAATTCGTCTTCATCAAAAATCAGCATCATTTCATGAGTTTTGATCCGTTTGATCTGAAATTTTGTATGTTAACTCTTGAACCTCATCTGAACCAACTTACTTAAGAACACTTTTAATATTAACTTTGACCAAAGTATTGAATTTAATGAATTTCTTTTTTTTATTAATGAAAAAAAATTGATAACTCAGAAGAATTCTTCTGATACGTCAAAACCAAATATAGAGCAAATTCTTGTGAGACAGATTAACCAAAGGTAGACTTTGCTTTAAATTTATATAATTCTAAAAGATTAACCAAAGGTAGATTAACCAAAGATAGACTTTACTTTAAATTTATATAGTAAATTGAATTTATCTTAACGTAGATATAAACAAGATTCCAAAAGTAGAACAAATTCTAGATTAACCAAAGGTAGATTTTATTTTAAATTTATACAGTATAAACAAATTCTAAATTTAGAGCAAATTCTTGTAAAACAGATTAACCAAAGGTAGACTTTGCTTTAAATTTATACAATTCTAAAAGATTAACCAAAAGTAGACTTTGCTTTAAATTTATACAATTCTAAAAGATTAATCAAAGGTAGACTTTGCTTTAAATTTATGTAGTAAATAGGATTTATCCTAACGTAGGTATAAACAAGATTCCAAAAGTAGAACAAATTCTAGATTAACCAAAGGTAGATTTTACTTTAAATTTATGTAGTAAATTGAATTTATCTTAATGTAGATATAAACAAGATTCCAAAAGTAGACTTTGCTTTAAATTTATATAATTCTAAAAGATTAACCAAAAGTAGACTTTGCTTTAATTCTAAAAGATTAACCAAAAGTAGACTTTGCTTTAAATTTATGTAGTGATAGGATTTATCCTAATGTAGATATAAACAGATTAACTAAAAGTAAACTTTACTTTAAATTTTTCTTAATATAGATATAAACAAAATTCGATTTATTTTTTTTTAAATTTATTTGTAAGTATCTATAAAAAAAATCTAATCATTTAAATTTAAATAAATAATTAATTTGAATATCAAAATAAATTCTTATATTCAAAATGTCTTTTGTAATCAAAACGAAAAAATCTATTTTAAAAAATCCTTTTATTCGTAAAGATCAAAAAAATGAAGATAATAAACATAAAGAAAAATCTAAAGAACAAGATAAAATTGAATCTGAAAAAATTATATCATATACAAATAATTTTCCTCTTATACAAAAAAATAACTTGAATCAAAAAATATTTGAAACTGAAAAAAAAATTGAAATTATTGAAGATGAATCTGATTTTAATAATAATAATTTAATTTCTTTTATAGTTAAAACAAAAAAATCTATCTTAAAGAATTCTTTTGTTCGCAAAGATCAAAAATATAATAAGAAAAGAAAAATTGAACTTCTTGAAGAAGAAACTAATTTTAATGACAAAAATCCAATGTCAATTAAAAATTTAATTAATTAATTTTTTTTTAAAGAAATTTTTCGATAATTAGTTTCATTTAAATATTTAGTAATATTGTTTTGTACAACATATTTTTTTTATAAATATTGTAATTTTTATTTCATATTATTTTTTTTCGATAAATAAAAAATCATGAGAAAAATTTCTTCACATCAAATTTTTAATTACTATATTCAAAAAAATGTTGATAAAATGGAATGTTCTATTTGTAAAAAAGAATACAAAAATTCAATTAAAAATTTAAAAAAACACTTTAGAAAATTTCATTCAGAAGAATAGAAGAAAATCAACAAAAAAAGATTTGATTTACAAACAAAAAAAATTAATAATTTGAAAAGAGAATTACGAGTAATTTTTAATGACTCTTTTGAAAACTTAGATAAGATTAATTTCAAACGAGTTAAAATCTTTTATGATTAAATCTTAGTCATCATGTTTATCTGTTTATAAATATTATCTACATTAGGAATCTTAAATATCATTGGTTCATAATCATATGTAATAAAAGTATATAAACATATCTTATCATAAAAATATAATTAGTGCTTTGAATTATGCTAAATTGGGAATTATTAAAATTATGCTTAAAATTCTATGATAAAGTTTTTCTGTGTACCAAAATTATGAATATATAAGGTGTCAATTTTATGCATCAGAATGCAGATATCTCAAAAAACTAAATTCATTTACGAAGATAAAAATTCCATATATACAAACTCATATTTAAAAAAAAATTGACACAACATGTCTTCAACTAATACTTCATCCTCGATTGACTACAAAACCCTCTTTGAACAAGAAAAAAAATTGAAAGAAGAAGCTCTTGAGAAACTTGAAAGAGTAAATACAACTGCAATTCTTATTATTAATAAATTGCAACATGAGAATGTTAAACTCAAGGATGAAAAAAGTAAACTTGCTGAAGAAAAAAAAGATCTATTCGAAAAAATATGGAATTAATCAAAGAAAATAAATCTTTTATTATCCATAATTAAACATTGGTTATGGAAAAAAATCATTTTGAAAGAATTTATCAAGAAATGTCTGATTTTTTAATATTTCTTTCAGACTTCTTTGGTAACAGATTTGAGGTCGCAAAAAATATTTTTTATAATAATTATTATTATTATAATTATTTTACGTCTGAATCTGAACCAAATCTTGGTCAAAATGAAATCGAAATCAAAGTTGAAAAAGAAAGTAAAAGTGAAAGTGAAATGATGACTGAAGTAGAAAGTATAATTTCTATAGGTGTTGATAGTTTAGATGATGATTATGACAATTATTTACTTGATAGAGAAAAATGTAATAATTTTATTTATCATAAAGATAATTGTAATTAATTTTTTTATTTTTTTTATCACTTGTATTTATAATTTTTTTTTTAATAAATTTATATATAAATAAAATATTTTATAAAAATTTAATATTCAAATTTACTACATTCTAAACATAAAAAATGATGATGATTATCATATGTTATATTGTCATATGTAAAAGGAACACCATATATATTGTATAATTGTTTACGTTACAATTTATATTATTTGAAATATACATAGAGTAATATGAACAATATTTAAGATTTCACATTTCTGACAATAATCTTTTTTATAATTTTCATCAATTGTATTTAAATCGATAAAATAGAAAAACCCTTCAAATATATTTAGTTTATATTCTTTTAATTATATATAATAAGAATTATCTTTAGTTTAAATCTTTCTTTTTTCTTTTTTACCTTCAAATTCAAACAATACCCATAGTATTTTCTTGGTTTTTTTTAATCTATAATTTAAGAAAACAGATGTTTCAACAAAATTTCAATTGAAAAATTATTAATATGCATTTTTTTTTATAATATATATTTGAACAGTCTATTTATATTTTATTTTATTATAAATGATTTATAAAATATTTAATCTAAAAAGTCTCTTTACATTCAAAACACAAAAAATGTTGATGAATATCATATGTTATATTATTATATGTAAAAGAAAAATTATAATTTATCCTACAATTATTCATATTACAATTTGTATTATTTGGAATATAAGAAAGATAAGTTGAACAATATTTAAGATATCTACATTTTTGACAACAATCTTTCATATAGTTTTTATCAATTATATTTGAATTGATAAAATAAAAAAAATATTTATTTAATTGTATATAATAAGAATTATCTTTAGTATTTGTTTATATTTTTTTTCTTATATTTTTATCTTTAAAATTTATCAACACCCATAATATTTTTTTAGTTTTTTTAAATTTGTAATCTAAAAAAATAGATGGTTTATGATCATGAATTACAATTTTTTCTTTCATCAGATGATATTCGATTATATTTTTTTTATAATATTTATCACATATTGTAGTCCATAACTTGCAAGTATGTTTGATATTAAAATAATCAAAACGAAGAAATAATGTGATTTTTTCAGATAAAACAAAAGATAAAATAATCAACAAAATTTCTGTTGAAAAATTATTAATATTCATCTTTTTTACATAATAATGAGTTAAATAGTTATTTATATAAATATTTTATTATAAAATTTAAATAAACAAATAATTTTTTAAACTAGTTTTAAAAAGTATTTTTGGTGAAATTTGCTTTATATAAATTAAATTCTTTTGATAATTGAATCCAATTATCAAGTATGTATTCCATATAATTTATATTTAATAATAAATTATTTTCATCTCGATAATTATTTAGATTTATATTTCTATCTACAACTTTTTCATAATATATTTTGAATTTTTCCATCCTATATCTAGCAAAACTATTATACATCAAATATACTAAAATCTCATCTGGTATTTGATTCAAAAAATATTTAAAACATGTTTGTTCATGTTCATAAACATAATCAACTTCATTAATCATTTGAAAAGTTTTTTTGTTTCTATATAAATTTATAATTTCATCTTTGAATCTTTGTATTTTTAATGAATCTATATGTTCAGTATATCGTTGTATTTGACTCATTTTTCTTTTAAATAATTTTAATTGATTAAACTCTTTATATATATTTTTTTATAATATATTTTATAGTTGAATATATAAATTAACCAAATGTAGATTTTAAGAATAATATAATATAAATTAAAATCTATATAAACAATAAATTTTTTTTGAAATTTTAAACAAATATAATTTATCAAAATGATTTTTTTTATTTTATTATTCTCATATCTTATTATTTACAAAATATTAGATATGAATGAAAATTTAAGAAAAGAACGTTTAAAATATCAAAATCCATCAAATATTTATGATGTAGTTTTACTTGTAGCAAAAAAAACAGATTTTGGTTATTCACATCATAGTAAACCATTTTATGAGATGTTAAAAAAAGTAATTGATAAAGAATTATTATCAAGAGAAGAAAAAAATGATATTATCAAAAAATATCTAGAATTTTATAATATTTTTAACGAAAGATAATTTTTTATTTAAATTTATTGAAATATGTAAAATAAAAATATATACAAATAAATAAACTATTCATTTACATTATTATCAATAATTTCTTCGATCACTTCTACAATTAATTCTTTTAGTTCATTTGAATCTTTTAATAATATTTGTTTTTTTCTTTCAATTTCTTTTTTAATATTTCTAACTATATTTTTTGATTGACAAATTAATATTTTCATTTTTTTAGCTTGTTCATGTGAATTTTCAGAAAAATTTTTATTAGTTACAATCACACCACTATCTTCAGGATGATATGCTTTAATAAACCTATTTACTCGTTCGATATTATTAAATCCAATATTTTTTATACTTCTAAATTTACAACAAATAAATATTTTGAAGTTTTCATAATCAGCAACAAGATATTTATCACAGTCTGAGTAGAACAATTCATCTTCATTTTCATAACTTCGACATGTAAACCCTTCATTATTCAATAATTTTATTATATCTTCTTTATATTCTTGACATAATTCAGTAATTTTTTCTTCTAAATAAAAAAAAATATTATAAGTACATCATATTTTCATCATGCTTTTTAGTAGGAACACTAACCTCGCCTAATCTCTAAAGTTCTCAGATTTACATCAGGTGATTATTTTACCAGAGTCCAGACATAAAATCTCACTCAACTGGCAGCGTAACTTATATCTGAGAACACACTTAACATGCAATACTTAGTATAAGAAATGTTTATACCTCATTATTCTTTTTGACTTGATACTTCTTAACACTCAAAAAATTACTCATATTTTTTTAAAAAAAAGTTTTTTTATAAAAAAAAATTTTTTTTTGCTTACAAAAAACTGTTTACACAGAAAAAATTTTAGCATGATATGAAGATACAAAAAAAATATAATTGGGTATAAATAAATAAAATCTAATCTAAAAATAGAACAAAGAACTGATGATCTAATTCGAACAAAGAATATCGATTTATAGTATAAGTATATCAATATTTATATGTTTTGCAACATAGTAAAATCCTGCATTTACTAACAGATTTTCTAAAAATAGAATAAACCAGAATGAATCATTTAAATCAATTGATCGTAAAATTTGTTTATCATTTAAATAATTAACGAGAAAAATATTAAACAAATATATAATTAATAATTTGTTTATTAACATATTTTTTATTAATAAAATATAATTTAAAATCCTTTATATTTATATTTTTTAAATAATAATGAATGTTTTAAAAAAACTATTTTTTAGATTTCTGCCAATTTTTAGTTGCCGTTGAAAATAATTTATCTGATGCAACACTATCTTTTTTTAATCGTTTTATTTCTTTACTCATAAATATATTATATTTACTTAATTTTCTTTTCTTTTTAATAGTTTTTTTTTTCGTTTAATTTTCTTTTCCCTTTGAATTTTGTTTTTGGTTTTTCTACAACTATTTCTTCTGATTCTTCATCTGAATTATCATAAGATTCTTCTTCTGTCTCAATATTTTCAGATAGTTCATTTAATTCTATCAAATCAATAATACTATCTTTTATTTTTTTAATACTATTCAATTTTAATAACAATTTTAATTCTTTTACTGAAGCCATAATTAAACTTTAAAAAACTTTATTTATAAAATATATTGTATTTATATTTTTTAAAAAAAATAAAAAATAATAAAAAAAAAATTAAATATCATCATCATCATCATATTCTCATTCAATAGTTACAGTAAATTCATTACATTCATAATTAATTTTATAAATTATATTTTTATTTAATAATGTCCAGTCTTTATCAACCCAAGAATCAAGAAGTTCTTCTAATTCTTTTTCAATATTATCTCGAACATTTTTATGTTTAATTTTATCAAATGTTTCTTCCCAAGTACACATTTGATTTGTAGTAATATGAATACTATAAACAATATTAATATATAGTATCCAAATTATTAAAATTTTAAAATTTATTTTTTACGAATTTTGTTTATCATCAGTAAAAATCTATTCTTTAAATATTAAAATTAAAATGAGATCAGATGATCAGAATGATGTTAAAATTTCGTAATTTGATAATTTATTATATTTATTATATATAGTAATTACATTTTTTAATAAAAAATATTAAATAAAAAATTACAATAAACTTGTTTATCTTCATAGTTATACGATATTTATTACTCATATAACTATGAAGATAAACAATTTAAATTAAACTATCAAAATTAACAAGCTTTTTTAAAGCTTGTGATTTGACATTATTTGAAAATGTCACTTTGGATGTAGAACTATTAAATCTAAATAAATAAAATTTATATTTTATTATAAAATATTTAAAAATAATAATTTTAATTATTATAAAAAATAATACCTTAAGATAAAATAAATTTTAATAATTTCTTTCTTGTGGAGATAAGGAAAGGTTATCTTCTTTGATATAAAGTTTTTCAATTTTATTAAAGAAATTATTTAATTCAGTTTGTATTTCAAATAAGAAATTAGTTTTTTGATATGGTTGTTGTTGAGATTTATCTATATTTTTGTTTTTAAATTTTGTCATTTTGTGAAAAAAAAATTAAAAAGAAATTTAATCGTTCAAAAAAATTCAGACAAGTTTATGTAAGAAATTATAACAAAGAATTTCAATTAATCTGTGAATAAAACCAAATATAGTATATATCATTAAATTAACTAAAAAAGTATATATAAAAACTTAATAATCTAACTATTTTTACACTTTTAAAATGATTTTAAAATTATTTATAATCTTTTTATTGATGTTATAAATAAGAATTACTGTTGATATTTTTTGTACTATACTTGATCAAAAATATTCTGTTGATCATTTAAAATATTGCGACAGAAAATTTTTTTTATATAAGAAATAATTTATTAGTTTTCAAAATAAATAAATTAATACAAATTTAGATAAATTATTAAAAGAATTCTGCATCGAAATTCTATTTTAATTCATATAAAATGAATTCAAAATTATCTATATACATTACAAAACTACCTACATAAAACTAATATAAAAGTAAACAATCTTCAACCAACATGCCTTCCATCTGAAAACTCTCTTTAAACATTAAAAAATTTTTTAAAAAAAATCTTCTAAACTCTAAATACGAAAATATGATTTATAATCTTGCTACATCTGATCAACTTGAATTTTCTTATCTCTACTTATTTAAAGAAGATTGGCATGTATCAATTGCTGATGAATGCAAGAAATCTCCTACTGTACGAAGAGTTGTAGAAATTGTTATTCAAAATCCAAATCTTCATAAAGAGATGCTTGCAGATTACAAAGTAAAAGCAATATGTTTTGATGAAATAAAAACTTTTACTATCGAGATTCCAAATTCAGATGACTAGAAACCTATAGGAGAAGAATGGTTTGGAGTTAAAAATTTACTTTTTTTTATTGGAAAAAATTTTCAAACATATAAATTTGAATAAATTGTATATATTTATATTTTTATTTCATATTTAATAAAAAATTATTTACCTTAATATATGACTTGCTTTGGAAAATGTTCATATATAAAATTCCGAAAATAAATAGAATATATTGCAATTATTATTGCAAGTGAAGTTAAATATATTGTAATAACAATAATCCAAAAAAAGGTTTTAGATTCAATAATTTTTATAACAAGTTGGTAAATATATGTATCATATTCACCAATAGAGAGATTTGTCAGAAATAAACCAAAGAAAGCAAAGGTAATAACAATGAGAATGATAATTTTTGAAAGCATTTTTATAGATTTTAATAATAAAGATTTGAAAAAGGTAAAGTTTTGATTTGAAAGTTTAAAAGTTGTAAAACGAGTAAATCATAATAAACAAGAGACAAAATTTTAACTTTTTTTATAACAAAATTTTTCATATATTATTTTCTTGAATGTTTAATTTTTAATTCTTTATATCAATTAAAACAAATAAATTCTTGTGCTTTATCAGAGTTGGTATAACAGAAATTAAAAGAATACTTGATCTCAATTCAATTGATAAGAATCAATAAATACAAATTTAGATAGATTAAAAATTATGTTAAAAAAAGTTGATAAAGATAAATTGATTTTACGATTACTAATTTAAAATATTTATAAATACATGTTTTTTTTTCAGAGATTAAAGTATTACTTATAAATCTAAAAAAAACAAGAATTTGAATATATGAATTACTTTTGTTTTATTTTAGTTAATTTAATTTTAATTTGTTTACCTAGTTTTTTTCTCGTTGATTTTTATTATGACAATAAGATTATAAAAAACATAAAGTTAGACCTTTTTTGGATCTGTGCTATCACAGTCAATATTATTATTGATATTATAATTCTTAGTATCATATATTATTTTCTTTATAAAAAATTATTTTTATGTTTTATATCTCAGTATAAAAACAAAGAATTCGAATATTCAAAATCTAAATAAGAAGAATAAATCTAAAATAAGAACAATACTTATGTAATAATTTTGATTATCTGAATACAATCTAAAATCGTTTAAAAATAAATAGAATTTTTTTTGTGCATCTTTCAATCAAAAAAAAATTTTTTTTTAAACAAAAAAAATGTCAGAACAAATTCTGTACGATAACTGGCAAAAAGCTAAAAGAAGTACAGAACAAGCAAAACAAAAATGGAACAAAAAACGTACTGAATTATTAAACTACGGTGCTGCTAAACCTTATAATCTTGTACAACAAGTAAAAGCTTGCAAAAAACAATATGATAATCTGAAAAAACAAGAAAAAGATGCAGAAATTCTTTATCTTAGATGTAAGAGAGTTCCTCCTGCATTAAAACTCGAATCTGAAACAGATACAAATCCTCTTTCTGAATTAAAATTAGAATCTGATCTAGATTTGGAACCTCCTCCAGAATTAGATTAATTATTTTTTTATATATATTTTTTATATTAAATAACTGTAACGTAATTTTATTTTATAAAATATATTTTTTATTTGTAAAATAATTTATATAGTAAATAAAATAAACAATATAAAGAAAATAATAAACTAGTATAAATAAAAAAATAAGGTTTACTGATTATCTAGCTATTTGTTGTAATCTTTTTATTTGATCTTTGATATCGACTGTTTCAGGATTATTTTTTTCCATCTCTTTGACTATATCACGTAATAATGTAGGAGGTAAATCCTTAACTACATTAAAAATTTCCCTAACGTTATCATTTATGTTATCAATCTTTTTTTCTTTTTCTTCCATCTTACTTTTTAGTTCTTCATTTTCTTTTTCGAGTTTTTCTTTATCTTTTTTAACAGTTTCTAACTGGTTCTTCACAGATTCATAATCCACATTATTTTTTTTACTTTGTTCGTAAAGTTCATTTAATTCTTTTTTATCTTTCTTTAAATTTTTAATAATTTTTTTTTGAGTTTCATACATCATCTTATATTTATCACGTTCATTTTTTAATTTTTTAATCTCTTCATCTTTATCTTTAATTTGTTGTTTTAGTTGATCGATTTCAATCTTATGATTCTGTTTAAGTTCTTCAATAGTTTTTTCTAATTTTTTGTTTTCTTCTTCGAGTTCTTTGTTCTTTTTTTTTTCTTTTTTGTTTATTGCTTTAAGTTTTTTACGTTCATCTTCAGCCTCTTTTAATTGTTTTTTTGTATCAGCATGAAGTTCTTTTTCTTTTTCTAGTTTTTCTTTTTCTTCAAGATATTTTTGATTTGCTTCTTTTGCTTCTTTTTTAGCATTATCAAGATCTTTGCGTAATTTGTTTATTTCATTTAATAACTGTTGATGGTTTTTTTGAAATCTTCCAACAGTATTATAATAATTGATACTTCTGTTTATGTTTTGTTGTTGTTGAATAACTGTTCCATATCTATTTTGCCAATTTCTTAAACGTAAACGAAGAGTCATTTTTTTTTTTAAAAAAAAAAATAACTAAATATTTTATTTAATAATCTTTTTTTATAAAAAAATAAAAAATACATATAAAATATTTTAAACCAAATATAAAAAAAAAAATATTTAAACTATAACTATTATAAATTTAAGCTAGTCTTTGAGTATTTTTCAAATCGTCAATTTGTTTTTGTAAATCATCAAATTTAGGATCTTTATTAATTTTTTCGATAACTTTTGCTGCTTCTTCATTTATTGTTTGTTTAATATCATCACCAATATTGATACCTTTGAGTGCTTCATTTAATATTTCAGGTAGAGCATCTTTTACAGCTTCAGCAATATCATCTTTAATATTTCCTAATTTTGCAAGTAGCTTTGAGTAAATTTCTTTTCATTGTTCAAGTTCTCTTTCTTGATCTATTAAGAGTTGTTTAAGACGAGCAGCTTCTGCTGCTAATTCAACTTTTTGTTTAACAGAATATGACATTTTTTAACAAACAAAATAAAAATTTGATCGTATTTTATAACATTTTATTTAAATGTATTTATTTATTTATTTATATAATATACAATAATAAAAAATATTTAAATTGTTGATTTACAATCTTTAAAATTTACTATTGAATAAAAAAAAATATATTAGTTTTTATATTTTTATAATTACTAGTTAATAATACTTACAAATTATTATATAATTTCTTTCAATATTTTCGTTAATTATTTTTTGGGTTTTCTATTTTGAAGGTTTAGGTTTTCTTTGAATACTTTGTAATTTATTTTTTTCTTCCTCAACACCCACACCCTTAATTTTTTCACTTAATTTTTCGATCATTTCTCCTGATTTATCAGTTATTAATTTTTTTATATCATCACCAAGATTAGTACTTTTGAGTGCTTCATTTAAGATTTCAGGTAGAGATTCTTTCACAGTATCAGCTACATTCTTCTTTACATTAGAAAACATTTCAAGTAATTGATCATATTTTTTCTTTTCAGTATTGATTTCATCTTCTTGATCTTTTAAAAGTTGTTTGATACGCACAGTTTCTTGGTCAATAATTTTTTTATCGTTTTCACTCATTTTTTTATTTGTAAAAAATATGAATAAATAAAATTCAAATATAAATAAAAAAAATATAATATATTAAACTATAATATTAAAAAAAAACAATCATCTGTAAAATGATTATACTAAATTTAATCTTTCTATATTTATTAAAGTTTTTTTACGCCTTACTATAAAATAAATCATATATAAAAAATAAAGTTAAATTTATTTTGAATCATGATATGTGTTCAAAAATATACGAAAAAAATTTAATATCGCCTTATCAGCTTCTGTTGCATTTGAATTAGTCTTTGTAGATTTTTGTTGTTCTTTTGGTTTATTTTTTGAATTAAATTTTGTTTGTTTCGAATTTGTCTGTTTTGGTTTTGGTTGTCTTGGTTTTCTTTGTTTTGGTTTTGCATTTGTTTTTTTCGGTTTTGTATTTTTAGACTTTGTCTTTTTAAATTTTTCTCTATATTCTAAGATTATTCTATATGCTTTAGTAATCTCTTTTGTTTTCTTTTCAGATTCTTCTTTATTATTAATATTTTTATCAGGATGCCAAATCAAAATCAATTTTCTATACATTTTTTTTATCTCTATATCACTCGCTCTTTCATTTAATCCTAAAACTTTATAATAATATAATATATCTTTTTTATTCATTTTAACTAATTTAAAAATAAATATTCTTTGCTACCAATATATTTATATATTTTTTTACAAACATTTATTTTTATATGTTCGTATATTATGTTTTTTTTGTTTACAACAGCTACATCTTCGTACAATCTTTGATGAATATGAATTTTTATATGTAATATGATTAGATCTTTGACAACAAGAAGCATATGTTTCTAGTTGATGAAAAATCAATATAAAAATAATAAAATATATAAACAAATTCATTTTTTTGAATACGATAAAATAATAGTTATATTTATATCAATTTTAAACTCTTTAAAAATATATATGATTTATTTATTTAAAAAATAAAGAAATAAATAAAAAAAAAGTTACAATTCTTTAGAATAACTATAGCTAGAAAATTGAGAGTAACTAAAACCATCT